CTTTCAGTTCCCTCATCTGTAAAATGAGGGTCACATAAGCAGTTAATTTGTGGGCTGTTTTGAAGATTGAGAGGTAATACATGCAAAATTCACAGAATTTTGTCTTGTGCAGAGTAAATAATCAATAAATGTCCACAAAAAAATCAGGAGAAGGAGGTTAGCTAAGCACGTGAGACTACAGAGTTTACAGAAGACTCTCTTAGACCCAAGATCCTGGCCCCGTCTGGCTTCTCCCATACATCTGTTCCATGCATTTCCCCAAAGTTTCACCCCTGTCCTGACAATACAGACTAGGAAATTCAGATTCACAGAAAACCAATAATTTAGTCTAAGTCCTTTGGCTGAACAGCAAATGAGTAAATTCTAAATGGGCTCAACATTACCCCTTTCCTCTATTTCATTAAATTCCTAAGCCACAGTCCATTTCCTCTTCACAAGATCTCCTATTTACCAGTATTATTTACCTATAGTCTTTAAAGTCCAGATCCAGTTTCTGATTTTATAGAATTTTTATCTGCTCTGAAAGAACAGAATGGACATTTACGCTTCCCATTCGCAAGGCTTGTAATTGATGTTTCTAGCCATTTTGACAGCATAGGTAGAAAACTTCACCAATGAGCAGTAAGAATTTCTTTTTATAATGGCTTCAACATATTTCAATCAAACACAACTACTAATTCAATTAAAAACAAATGACTTTTTAGAAATTGGTCTATTACTATTTGTCGCATGAGAAGATAATTGGAAAGTGGTAACAGAGTGAATTTAATGATAAGTAGTTGGAGATGCACCAATATCCAATTTAAATTTATGGCTCAAATTATTATTTGCAGAAGTGAAATGTATAGTAGTCAAAATATTATAGTAATTTTTGATTCAGAATTATGGTAAATGCTAAATATAACAGTTTAGGTGTTCTTTTTCTTTAATCTCTAAAATAACATTCTGATGTAATATTTAACCTCAATCATCAACATGTCAACTAGCTACTTAGAAATTAACTGCGGTTTTAAAGGAAAGTAGAGAAGTTGATGCTGCTGAAAGAAATGAAGGAGTTGTTCTTATTTAGCTTATTTCTAGAATGGAAATACTAAGAATATAATATGTAATCCCAGCACTTGGGGAGGCCGAGGCGGGTGGATCACAAGGTCAAATGATCGAGACCATCCTGGTCAAAATAGTGAAACCCCGTCTCTACTAAAGATACAAAAAATGAGCTGGGCATGGTGGCGCGTGCCTGTAGTCCCAGCTTCTCAGGAGGCTGAGGCAGGAGAATTGCCTGAACCCAGGAGGCGGAGGTTGCGGTGAGCCGAGATCGCGCCATTGCACTCCAGCCTGGGTAACAAGAGCAAAACTCCCTCTCAAAAAAAAAAAAAAAAAAAAAAAAGAATGTAATAGATGGTGCAATTTGATTAATAGTAACAAATAGTAATAATAACAACAGCTAACACTGTATGCTTATTATACATCAGCTACTACTCTATGCATATATATTAACTCATTTAATCCTCACAATAATCACTGAAGGTAGGAAAGAATATTATTCTCACCTCTGTGCTTAGAGGCTATATTTACCCACATTTCTTCTATTAAAACAAATACCCAGGGTCCTGAAGAGTGCCCTTCTGATGGGCCCAGGAGGAACACCTGTGACTGTCAGCCTCCAGGCCTCCTTCATCCAGGGAAAAGGACAAGGACTAGAGAGGGCCTGTGTACCGGTGATGGAGCCACCCAGGCCAGGCCAGACTTACGAGCAGCTTCCTGTAAGCCTATTAGGGTCAGAATCCCTATCATTAGTCAGGAAATGATCTACCACAAAATATCTTTAGATTTCACCCATTCACACACACCTGCGTTCATTCGTCCATGCATGTGTTTATTCATGCAGCTTGACTACAAGCTGAAAATAGGCAAGATAGAGCGCCGGTTCTCAAAGCACTTTCAGTTTAAAAGCAAATCATCCATCGCTGGGATCTATCACCATAAAATTAGGATTCCGAGCTTACTAGTTCATCGGATTTGATGATGTCACTTGGCTTGGGGCAGAGGCCCTCCCTCCCAGGTAGTTCCAGCCTTTATCGCCCCAGGCCTACCGACTTGCAAGTCTCGTTTCTTAACTCAGTTTTCTGCACAGTTGCCAGATCGGTTTTGCCAGAGGCAGCTTCTCCCTTGTCAATTTCAGGTGTTTAAAAGTTGGCAGCACCCCACCCCCCCCCCCACCGCCCAAGCCTAGAGGATATCTGCAGTTTGTCCCCAACTCACTTTCACCCCCTAGTTTCCAACTAGCAGAAGCTCTGCCCTCACCGTGGACATGCCCTGCAAGTTGCCCTCTGCCTTTGCACCCACAGCCCCCTGACCTCAGCTGCCCGGGACTCCTTGTCGGGAGTCTCTGTCTAGGCCCAGCGCAGGTCTTGTTTCTGGGCAGCTTTTCTGAACCACGCCTGTGACCGCCCTGTCACCCTTAAGCGACTTCAGCTGGCATCTAATGTTTGCAGGGGCTGAGTGTGCACAGTGTCTCCTGCTGCTAGCTTGCTTTGTGCTCACGCTTGGTCTCCAGCAGCAGTGTGAATAGCCCAGCAGTGCATAGAGCATGCACAGTGAATGCGGAGTGACTGGGAGGGACGACTGAGCTCTGAGCTCGGGAGGCTGGTGGCGTCTCCTCTGGATAAGTGGGAGATGCAGAAAGCGTACTGTGAGATGGAAATTAGCCTTGCCCAGTGCAGAAATGAGCATTTCCTTTTATCAAAATCCTAGGAAGGAGAGCTTCCAGAGGCCTGGCCTTCTTTAATTACGACTCTGAATGATTTGATGTGAAAAGCTACCTTCCCCGATGATGTAAGTGTAGGAGCCGAGTTCTCGGCAATTTGAGTTTGCACATTGTACTGTCTGGATTCTGGGTCTAAATGGGGGCGAGTTTCCTTCCCTTGACTCTCAACTCCCTCAAGTATTAAATGGGCTAAAGGCACATTGGCAGAGGCTGGGAAATGAATTCAGATTGCTGCATTAAACAAGAAAAACACTTTGGAAATTGCAGAATATTCACGTCAACAAAAAAGCACAATAATGGTGTGTTACTATTACAAATGAAGGCACAACCCGGCTCTCACAGTACTTAAAAAAAAAATTTTTTTTAAGTAACGTCAGCCTTCTTATTTATCCATGTTAACAGTGCCCTTTATCTAAAAAATATGTAAATCCCTTTAAATTAATTTCCTGTAATACCACACAAAACAGCAATCATATTAGTGCCATTCATAATGCACTAATAACATTAACATAATTGCCTTCAAATATAAAACTGCTAGGTAATAGGCTTTTCATAAATTGTTTCAGGGAGAATGTGATTTTTAACTTGACTGTAGGTCTTTAGTTCCAGATATTGTCAGAAAAAAATTCTGCCTCATGTGAGAGTTTCCCACAGTTTTTGCCTGCAGAGAAGGAACGATAAAGAGCTTTTGTGATCGAGAAGAGGAGGGTGTTCAATAGTCACATATTTCTGCATAGACGTGACCTTTCACTGTAGCTTTCTCCAGAGCAGGGTCTGGTCCCTGGTGCACAGGGTGCTCTGTACGTGCCAGCTCAGGGGACAGACACATGGAGGCTGCGGCTGCCGCGTGACCCCTAGACCTCTGCACCAAGTCTGTGAGGGAAGCTCTTGTGAGCAAGCTAATGTTTCTTTCTTGAGTAGTGAGGTCAGTTAGCCTGTTCAAGTCCGGCTGGCTCGCAGACAGTTGCAGAATTTTTTCTGGGCTCTCAGGATAGGAAGGGAAGGGTTCTGAGGCCTTGGCATGACTATGCAAGTCGTGGGTTTGAAAGGCCTCATGGGGCCCGGGGCAGTCAAATACCCGCCCCAGTTATCCAGTTCAAACTCGGGAACTTGAATCTAGTGTGTAAATTTATTTATTTTTCACAATTGCAGACACATTTATATATTACTGTTATTTTTGAGGGAGAGTCTTGTTCAGTTGCCCAAACTGGAGAGCTCATGAGATCTCCCACCTCAGCCTCCCGAGCAGCTAGGACTGCTTGGGCGTGTGCCACCACACGTGGCCAATTTTTTTTTTTTTAATTTTTAGTTGGGATGGGGTCTCACTAGGTTGCCCAGGCTAGTCTCAAACTCCTGAGCTCAAGTGATCCTCCTGCCTCATCCTCCCAAAGTGCTGGGATTACAGGTGTGAGCCACTGCCCCGGCCTAATTTATATTTTGTGCAAGTCAGTGATCCATCAGTTTCCTGATAAAAATGTGATGAACTCAGAGACCGCTATAGAAATAGGCACTGTGGGGCAAGTCTGTAATGAAATTAAGTAAAGGGGAAGGAATACGGAATGCCTGTGGCCACGTCCGAGCATCAAGTTGACCCTAAATCATTCTCACAAACACATGTCAATTTGTGACATATGATTAGATCTAAAAAAGAAAGATCATGTTGTAACTGAGTGGTTCAGAGTGATTCTCTTTGATCAGATATTCCAATCTTGCTGGATCATTGTAGAGCCACCTGAATTTACACAGAGATTTTCTTTCTGCTGTGTCAAAACACAAATATATGTTCCTTACCTCCATGATCCTTCCAGTGACCCTATGAGGTAGGCAGAGAACAGTATCGTCTCTGCCTCTTAAATAAGCTGATTGCACTTGAAAGTACTTTGAGCACTTTAGAACATAAATGATATTCCGGCAAAGAGTTAGCACCCCTTTCTTTCTCCAAAACTCAGAATGTACAGCAGAGCTGCGAGAATACTGAGTTAACGTGTCAGTGTAAAAAATGAAAGACAGACAGCTAAAGGTCATGGGCCAGAGCTGTTTTTTTAAGCATTTTCTGCTTTGCCCTCTCCTTTCATATAGTTTAGAAATTGTTTTAGAATGCACAGAATACATTTCTGTACATTTGTGGTTAACTTTTCACCCTACATTTTGGAAACAGCAATATAAATTGTGGAATGCAGAAGCTACTGATAAACACAAAAGAGGTAAATAAATTAATGCAGTTTTCCCACTGTATTCCTGGGGAATTCGTTCCGGGAATCCAGCTGATTCTAAAATCCACGGAAACTCAGGTCCCTGATACCAAATCGTGCAGTATTTGCGTATAACCCATGCAAAACCTTCGGTATTCTTTAAGTCATCTCAATATTACTTATCACACCTAACACAATGTAATGCTATGTAAATAGTTGTTATACTTTATTGTTTAGGGAACAATGATAAGAAAAATATTCTACATATGTTCAGTACAGGCTTGCTCCCCCTCAAATATTTCAGATCTGCATTTTGTCAGACCCACAGATGTGGGGCCCCAGCCAGCAGGGTCGAGTGTCCTGTGAGTGCCTGGCTCAGCACAGTGCAAGCACTGAGTCAAGGAGCTCATGAATTTGAGGGCTTGTTCATTGAGAAGCTGAGAACTTTCTTTGGACCAAATTGCTGCTGAGGATAATGGGAGGTCGGTGAGGAGGGCTTGAGGGAGAGTGAAAATCTCAGGACAGTGAAAATCCAGTACCTGGGGAGGAAGGCAAGGGGAGGGAGAGCATTAGGACAAATACCTAATGCATGTGGGGTTTAGAGCCCTGATGACGGGTTGATGGGTGCAGCAAACCTCCATGGCACATGTGTGGCTATGTAGCAAACCTCCATCCTCTGCACGTGTATCCCAGCACTTAAAGTACAATTAAATAAAGAGAAAAGAAAATCCAGCACCTGCCTCGCATGATGATGGGCAGCTGAGCTGAGGGCAGCGGAAGCAGAGGGCAGGTCTGGGCTCAGGAACAGGGGAGGGGGGAGCCGGGAAGACAGATGGGGGAGAGAAGGAGCTCTCCTGAAGGGACCAACAACTCCTGGAAAACAACATTTGTATTGACTTAGTGGCCGGTTTTGGAAGGATTCAAACTTTGCTTGGAATGGTAAGGTCTCCACCAGCACTGACACTTTAAGGTTTTGCAAACAAAGACAACGGATCCATTTCAATGCATTATTTAGATGGGTGGTCTTCCATATTTAAAAAAAAAAGGTTCCTAGATTCTAATAGCATCTACCTTACCGACATGGTCCTGAGACCCTGGGAGAGGTGCAGCTGGCCCACACGCTGTGCCCCCACAGGGAACCCGCATGGAAGGGTTAAGTGGCAGTGTTCCCTGCCCGGAAGAAGCAGGGTTCTGTAGCAAGTATTTTAAATTCAGCTGCTAGAGCGGGAGAGGAAGTTGGAGACAGGAAACCATCTCAGAACAGTGAACGTTTAAATAACGAGAGCAGCAGATTGTCTTGTTTCCCAGCCATCCCAGCAGTATTCTGCCCCGTCTCTACCCAGGGAAGACCACAGGATCCCGCTCCCAGCCGCAGAAGACATTTGCATAATACATTTACATTTGAAGGGAGCCCACAGATTGGCAACTCCCGAAGCTTCAGCTAGGCACGGTTTTCTACAATAGCAATTAGGAACAGAAATAGAATAACAATAGGTGTAGAAATACAGTTGCTGAGCTGTGGGTAGATGAAGCAGAAAAATCTCTGCGTTTTAAAGCCTGAACTTTGAATAATTGCGGAGTTGGAGACTAACTGGCCTTTGTTCTTTGTGTACCGGCTCTGAAGCCTAGAAGAGACCAGACCAATTTGGACCAACGTGGGAGCTGAAGAGAGCTCCCCTAGCAGGAAATGAAGTGGCTGGGCTGGCATCAGACCAGGAGAGACCAAGGCAGAGCCCACCCCACGGATCGCTGAAGGGTCCGCTGAGGTGCTGGCTGGTGGCCCAGATGGCAGTGAGCAGAGTGCCATGGACAGGCTTAGGGACTGGACGATGCTGGCAGGGAAAATCCCAGGAAGGGAAGGGGGATGAGAGCTGGAGTGAGATCTAGAGGTACCATGGATAAGCCAGGGGCTGAAGCTTGGAGGGGCAGGATGGCCCTCATGTGCCCTGGGGCACTCTCTTCAGGACAGCAGGGACACACAGGCACACCCTCTTCCAACCCTGACACCAGTGCATCCTCAGAGGACGGGATCTCAGCCTGAAGCAGCTCCTCAGAGAATCCTGTTCTCCTTCCTCCATCAGCTCCACTGCCCGCCCCTCATCCCTCACCTTACAGGGTGGTGGGGGGCAGGCAGGAGGTCTCCTTCAGTCCTGGTGATCAACCTTGTGACCCAGCCTGGAGAGGGGAGAAACTGAGGCAAGAAAAGGACCCACAGATGAGAAAGACCCGGGTGAGGAAACAGCGGGGAAGGCGTATTTTAGAGACAAAGGCTAAGAAATTATGGTCAGAGAGAAGGATGTCGAAGCTGAATATTCTGGGGTGAGGTCCTCCTGAGGTCCAAAGTGAGGCCGTGGGTCTGGGTGGCTGAAGTGATGCCAACGCGACCAGTAGAGCTGAAGAGGTCAAGGAAGAATTCAGAGTTGTCTTCCATAAGGACACCAGGTCACCTCGGATGATGAGAAACGGAAGATGGAGAGGGGCTTCTGAGTCAGATGCTAGAATGAGTATGGTTCCATGGCTGAAGAGATCAGCAGGTGGCACCAGTCAGGAGGGCACAGGATGACGCCACTCACCGGCCTGAAGTTGAAAGGAGCAGAGGGGTTATTCATGGCAAATGGGGATAATGGATGGGAAGCAACACTGGGGTGCATGGGGGCTCCAGAAGAATCCTTTCCAGTCTCTCCCATAGCAATTATTATCCAGCCTCAGCTTAGAACACAGTGTCTTCTCATGCTTTTGCTGAATGTTGTTAATTGCTGGGTGTTGAGTCAGTGTGCCCTATTGAAAGGAGCACTGGGTTGGGATCAGGACTCCTGCGTTTAAGTTCTGCCTCTGCCTGTCCTAGGTTGCTTAGATGACCTCATGTATGTTTCTAATGTCAGTATCAGATTCCTCATGTGTAAAAATGGGCCTAATAATGCTGCCCATGACCGTCGATGTGGAGACGATTTAGGAACTGCAGAATCCGACGCAATCTACAAGTTGGTGTCGTTAGTTCCTAGGGGATGAGAACTATTCCGAACCAAAGCATTAGTGACTATTAGAGGCATTTCATAAGGACGTTTTTATCAGGATAGCACTGACACGGAAAGCTGGTGCTTTTTCCGGAAGTGGTGATGCAACTGGTTAGTAGCTAGTTCTCCAAGACCCTCTTCCAAGGTGCCATAGTTCTCATGAATACTACAATATAAGAATGTTGATTTTAAGGAGGACGTCACCCAAATCAAGCAGATCCCTAATCATAAAAAGAAAAATAGAAATGCACAAACTAACACCCTGAAATATTGCTTTAAGTCCATCTAAAGGAGCGTGCTGGAAGGTATATTCCACAATGTGAGAAATCCAACATGAGAGCACACACTACTAAGATACACAATATTAATGGTTAAATTAAAATGGATGACACACCTAAAAGACAACTGATACCACAATACAGTTCCAAAAACATTAAAATATTAGGAAGAGCGTCTACTTTTTTTTTTAACCGTGATAAAAATTGTGGAAAATAAGAGTCCCTATTATGCTTAATGGATAGATGAAGGAAATGCTGTTTAAAAATTGGAACAAGAATGATTCCTTAATAGTGTCCTAAAAGCTCTAGTTAATGCAATGAGACATAAAAAAATAAATGGGAGGAGAGAAAAGATAATTATTTGTGCTTAATATAATGGAAAACCAGAATGTGCAGAAGAATCAGCAGAAATAATAATATTTAATAAAATGATTCAATAAAGTACTAGATCTAAAATAAGCATACCAAAATTAATAGTCTTGTTCATCATGAGCAGGCACCAGTCACTTAATGAAAATATATATCCTGTCCACAATATCAACCCTTTTTCCACAAGAAACCCTTGGCAATAAATCTATTGAGGTGTGTGTCCTGCCTACAAAACAGTTGAAAACTATTTAAGAGATAATAAAAGGCTAGAATAAATTGACATCTATCTCTCCGTTCATACTCTTACATATATACAGTATTCACGAAAGAGAAGACAAAATATTGTCTCAAGCAAACTAATAGATTTATATAATCCAACTAAGGAAAGGAAGAAGGGGAGTAACTCTATGAGATGTTTAAAAACAGAGAAACAGAAGTGAAATAGTTTGACAGTTGTAAAAAAATGACGATTTAAGTGATTAAGTGACTAAGAGGTTAGGATCACCTTTTGAGGAACTACTCCCTCTACGTCTTACGTGATTTGTCTCGTGAAACTATTATTTCCACCACCACGGACTTGTTCAACCAGCTGCCGCCTCTTGCCTGGGTAACCGGGACAGTCTCCTAACTGGGCTCTCTGCTGCCACGGAACGCTCTTTCCCTATCCCTTCAGCAGCCGGAACGATCTCTTCACACAGATCACGGCCCTGTTGTGTTCAAAGACCCTTTCCACACGGACGGGGTTGAGTTGTGTCTCCCCAGAAGATGTGCCCCACTCCTAACCAGCATCGATGTGCATGTGCCCTTATTCAGAAATAGGGTTTTTTTCAGATGTGATTAAGGGTTTCCGTATAAGAACATCCTAGATTTAGTTAGAGTGGTCCCTAAATCCAATGACCTGTGTCCTTATGAGACAGATAGGCAGAGACTCCGAGAAACCAACAAGACCAGACCACGTAAAGATGGCAGCAGAGATGGGAGTGATGTGGCCAAAAGCCAGGGAACACCAAAGCGGGGCTGCAGCTGCCAGGAGCCAGGGTTCCCTGCCAGAGGCAGAAACGGCACCGGGTTGTTTCTTACGTGCTGCGTGAGCCTCTGTCTCGCGTGTAAGGGAGACCCTGACGTAGAAAGCCAGTGGCTTGTGTAGTTACCTAGTTGATTAGAAAAAGAAGGTGTTAAGATAATGAGGAGGCACTGGGAAGGAGTGAGGCTGAAGATACCTCTGCGGTTGTGGCCCATGCTTTAAAAACATCGGAGCCTCCTGGAGGAACTGACTTGGCCAATACCTTGATTCTGGACTTTTGGCCTCCACAGCTGTGAGAGGGTGACTGTCTGTTTTCTTAAGCTGCCACGCTGTGGTAGGTAGTTCCAGCATCCCGAGGACACGGATATCCCGTCTCACTCAGGGTCACCGTCAGTGCCCTCACAGTGGAGTCCCCACCTGAACTGCTGTCCACCTTCCCTGTCACCTCCTGCCACTCCCCACCTTCACTCGGCACTGGCCTCTTTCAAGGCACTAATGCTTTGCACATGCTTTCTGTGGGCTGGAACGTTTTCCTCATGGACCCGTCCCCACCGGGAGTCTTTGTCAATGTCCCCTTCTTGGTAAGGCCTTCTGTAACCACCGGGTTTTAGAGTGGGCCTCACCCACCTGGCTGGAATTCTCTAATCCCCTTCTTTGATTTATTTTTCTTCATGAAGTCTATCACCATGTGATAGATGATAGTTTATTTCCTTGTGTATCTTGTCTCCTCCAACGAGAATGCCCTGTAAGTGCAGATGTGATAGCCGAGCTGTTCACTGTGGCATCTGCAGCGCCCAGAAGAGCACCCCACGCATGGTGTGGAGTCCGCATGTGTTTGTTAAACTAATGCAGATAGACTGAATTGTGAGTCAGAATGGAATACACAATAAAGCCTTACGAAGCAGTGGGGGAGGATTCATAGCTGATTTTGAGATATAGCACGTTAGAGAAAAATTAATTTTAGATACACATCCTATCCTGTGAACTAAAAGAAAATTAAAGTTAAATACGTTTAAAAATTCATAGAAAAATTAGCAGAAAGTAGAATAGTACATGAGCCTCTGGAAGGATAGTAACTTTCAAAGAGTGAAAGCAGTGGGGGAATTTACAAAGCTAACAGTGAACATTCTGCTGTTTAAAATTAGAACTTTCGTACCATTTGTGCCCCCTTGCTTCTAGTAAGAATCAGGGGCTGGACATAGTGGCTCACACCTGTAAACCCAGCATTTTGGGAGGCTGAGGCAGGTGGATCACTTGAGGCCAGGAGTTTGAGACGAACCTGGCCCACATGGCAAAAACCCCGTTTCTCCTAAAAATACAAAAATTAGCTAGGTATGGTCGCACAGGCCTGTAGTCCCAGTTACTCAGGAGGCTGAGACATGAGAATTACTTGAACCTGGGAGGCAGAGGTTACAGTGAGCCAAGATCATGCCACTGCACCCAGCCTGAGTGACAGAGTGAGACTCTGTCTCAAAAAAAAAAAAAAAAATCAGAACCTATTGTTGCTGGAAATAGTTCCTAGGTGACTGGGGTGCTCCGAGGCCCGGGTCTCTTTCTCCCTGGCTCCTCACCTGCTGACCGTGCCTGACCGCCTGCCAACCTGCTTGCCCCTCAGATGGAGCTTGTGTCCTCGCCCTGTGCACAGACCTCTTGGCCTGCAGGACTGCATCCAGTTGCCTCAACACAAACACCTGAGTGGCTGCTGCCCGTCAGTCACCTCCTGGGCATTGAAGGTAGCTGCATTCAGGTTGCCTGCCCGCCTGCCTGCGTGGAAATCCTTGCAGTACCTTTGACAAGCCCAGCAGGTGGGTCTCTCAGGCTGGTCTTGGGCTTGGGGACCTACAGGGCAGTTTCTTCTTCCTCTTTACTGGGCTCTCCTTTCCTGAGCCTCCCAAGCGACACCAGCACTTCCACCTGGACAGCACAGAACGCTGTAACGGGGGGTGAAGTCCCGTTTTAGGGCGAGGTGCTGTTCTAGGTGGGTGTTGCCATGGACGGGGTCCCTCTTGTTCTCCGGTTGATGACAGGTCTAAGTCCAGGCTGACTTACTAACTTCTCAGGGCAACACGCTGTTTCTTATGTGCTGTGTGAGCCTCGGTCTTGCGTGTAAGGGAGACCCTGATGTAGAAAGCCTGTGGCTTGTGTAATCAAACAGTTGATTAAAAAAAGAAGGTGTTAAGATAATGAGGAGGCACTGGGAAAGACTGAGGCTGAAGACACCTCTGCGGTTGCGGCCCACGCTTTAAAAACATCAGCGCAGTGCAGGCCAAGCCCAGTAGTGCCGCTGCCACTGTTTCTCTTCCTTCAAATCCTGCTGGCCTATGGGGTGGGGTGGAGAAAGGAGCGGGGTGGGGGCACCTCCCGGCCAGAGTGGCAGCGGCTCTGCCCTGCTGCACGTGCAGGGTCCCGGGCAACCTCACTGCTGTGAGCTTCCTGTGATCAATTCTGGGTCACACATGGCTTACTTGGAATCCTGTTTATCTCACCTTGTCCCGGACAGTGACCTTAAAGGGGAGAACAAACTACATTTCTGGGGCCATCGGAGCCCACTCGTGAGCTCAAGAACCCACACTACGTGCTGACGGCACAGCGCTGAGCCTGGGTAACAATTGCTTTGTCTATTACTTGGAGCAAAACAAATAACAAGGGGTCTGTTTGTTGGGATTGTTTTTGGGTGGAATTTAAAGTTCTGCTTCAATGGGGCCTCATGTTTTTTATCGCTGTGCCTCTTCCCTAAAATGAGAAACAATTTCAGAATCTCTCTTCCCATCCTCCTCACTCTGTCGCCCAGGCTGGAGGGCAGTGGCTCGATCTCCACTCACTGCAACCTCCGCCTCCAGGGTTCACATGTCTCTCCTGCCTCAGCATCCGGAGTAGCTGGGATTACAGGAT